CGTACAGATGTGTTTGGAGTTAATGAGTTCAGTGCTATGTGTGCTGAGTAGGCGCCACTTGAACTATCCAGGGCCACGAGGTGGCAGCAATAGTTGGAGTCCTCAGCCCCAGGCTGGTGGTAGGAGCCACAGCCTGTGGAGAGTGCACTGAGAGAAGAGAATCCAGCAGAGCTCTGGAGAGTGCTGGCATTTTAGGAAGCAGGCAGAGGGTTATTGGCAGAGGAGAAAGCTCCAGGCCTCAATTTACATCTTACTCTTTTGGAAAGGCTTTCCCTGCCTCCTGAAACTAGGTCTGGTTCTCCATTTTACATTCTCTTGGCACTGTGCTTCTCCTTTGTGTCTATCACAATTGCATTTTTAGAGTTATTGGTGTGTGTGTGTTTAATGTCTTATTTCCTCCTTTGACTGTAATCTTCAAGAGGACCATGCCCAGAGGTTGAACCATGAGAATCATGCTTACTGATCTATTTCCACCACCAGGCACAACACGTGGCACATAGTAGGTGCTTAATGAATATTTGACGATGAGTAAATGATTCTGTTTATCAAGCATAAAGGAGCCAACAGTGTGGCCAAATCCTTGGGTATGAAGATGTTGAAGCATTACAGTGTTAAGAGCACGGGCTCTGGAGCTCAGCTACCTGAATTTCAACCCCAGCTCTCCTGATTACTGATTGTGCAAGCCCAGGCAAGTTTCTTAGCCTCTCTGGGCCTCAGTTTTCCCATCTGGAACATGGGGCCATTGGAGTTCCTACCTCACAGGGTTATTTCTATCATTGACCCAACCACCTATCAAATCACCAAAATCAGTAACCTGTGAACCATCCTAGGTCAGCCTCCTGCCTCACACCCTACATCCAGTCAGTCCCCCAAAGCTGCCAGCTGTATTTACCAACTATTGCCCAAATCCAACCCTCTTGCTCATCTCTTGCCTAAATCATTGCAGTAACTTTCATACTGGTCTCACAAGCCCCTCCAGCCTCTTTTCTCAAACAGAGGGAGCTTTCTAAACACACAGTTGATCTTCATTATTCACAGATTCCGTATTGTGCTTTCTCCAGCTCACCACAATTTTTTTTTTTTTTTTTTGAGACGGAGTCTCGCTCTGTCGCCCAGGCTGGAGTGCAGTGGCCGGATCTCAGCTCACAGCAAGCTCCGCCTCCTGGGTTTACACCATTCTCCTGCCTCAGCCTCCCAAGTAGCTGGGACTACAGGCGCCCGCCACCTCGCCCGGCTAGTTCTTTGTATTTTTTAGTAGAGACGGGGTTTCACCGTGTTAGCCAGGATGGTCTCGATCTCCTGACCTCGTGATCTACCGGTCTCGGCCTCCCAAAGTGCTGGGATTACAGGCTTGAGCCACCGCGCCCGGCCCACAATTTATTTCTAATCCAAAATTTACACTTAAGACACTTTCATGGCCATTTATAACATGAACAGAGTGGCAAGAATTTGAGTCTCCCAATACACATGTTCCCAGCTGTGGCTGAACAAGGTGACATTCTGTCTTCCCCTTTCAGCTCTAATACTATAAACATATGTTCTACTGGAGGTCTACTTACTGCCATGTTTTTCTCATTTCTTGCTTTTTGCTGGGGTTTTGCTGTTTGAAATGGCCCTGAGTATAGTGCTGAAGTGCCATCTAGTGTTTTTTTTTTTTTTTTTTTTTTTTGAGACGGAGCTCGTTCTGTGACCCAGGCTGGAGTGCAGTGGCCGGATCTCAGTTCACTGTAAGCTCCGCCTCCTGGGTTTATGCCATTCTCCTGCCTCAGCCTCCTGAGTAGCTGGGACTACAGGCGCCCGCCACCTCGCCCGGCTAGTTCTTTGTATTTTTTAGTAGAGACGGGGTTTCACCGTGTTAGCCAGGATGGTCTCGATCTCCTGACCTCGTGATCTGCCCGTCTCGGCCTCCCAAAGTGCTGGGATTACAGGCTTGAGCCACCGTGCCCGGCCGCCATCTAGTATTTCTAAGCACACGAAGACTATGATGAGCCTTATGGAAAAAATATGTGTGTTAGACAAGCTTCATTCAGTCGAGTTATAGTGGTGTTGGCTATGAGTCCAATATTAATGAGTCAACAATATATATTAAACAAGGTGTCTTCAGAAACACACATAAAACAGACTTCTATATTGATCAGTTGATAACCACATTGCAAACAGAAGCTTGCAGGAACCTAACCTCATATGTCCTCTAGGAAGAATGCTTCAATATGCACTAACTTGGTGTTCCTGGTGACTTATAGAATATAACTACCTCGAATAATGAGAATCAGAGGTACCAATCTGACCATGTCTCTTCCTTTTTTAGAACTCACTCCTGCCTCAGCACAAATGTAAAAATAGAAAAAAGAAAAGAATTCCCTCATGCCTCCCTCTGCACCCAAGATAAATTCAGACTCCTTAGCATGACATTCCAGGTCCTTCATGGTCTGGAAGGTCTTTGCTGACCTTCCAGGCACCTGGCCATGTGGTGCCCCCACCACTACCCAGCCCACTCTCTAATGCTCTTCCATTATCTTTCACAAAGGTCCTCTGCACACTATGTGCCCACTGCCTCAAAGGCTCCTCCTCACTCAGCATCTCTTCTTGGTGAACTCCTATACATCCTTCAAGACCCAGCTTAAATGTTACCTTCCCTGGGTCTCCCTCTGGCAGAACTTAAAACTCCCTTCTCTATCTATGTCTTTTCTAGGACTTCTCCCAATGTTGTAACTGATCTCTTTATATGCCTCCTCTCTCCTGTACTTGGCAACAGCTTTTTGGAAAGAGCCTGAAGGAGTATAGAAATGTGTGACTCTCTGTAGGGTGTGTGCATTTCACACATCATTCATTCAATAAGTACAAATTGAAGCCTAACTGGACAAGACACCAGGCACCATTCTAGGCACGAGAGGTAGAGCAGTGAATAAAATAAAGCCACTGCTGCATGTGTGTGCAACACTGTGCCCATAATTGTGGCTTATGTGTAAGAGTATGCACATGTGAAGCCACATTGTGTTTGCTTGTGGACATGTGGTGTTTGTGGCTGCTGAATACTTTGTTGAATCCTGACCCTATGTGACCTGCTGATACAGGGCACCTTGGAAGTTAATTAGGCCAACGGACTGTGTCTGTGCACTAACGAGAAGCCTTCCCCAGGCACCCCCGCCCACCTTCTCCACCTCTCCTGTGGTTCCTGCCTGGCTTGGGTTTGGCCTTTTTAACCCAAAGACAACATGCATCCAAATGAGATTTTCTCTAGTGAATATGTCTCTCTCTCCCTCCCTTCTCCTCTGCCTTCCCTGTATCTCAGAAAGAAAAGGCCTAGGAATAAGGAAAAGGGGGAGGAAGAAATATTTTTTTGAGGACATACTATGCGGCAGGCCTGTGCTGGGCAGTTTACACGCATTACAGGCAATTGCAGACAGGGCTTCCCTTGTGCCAGGCACTGTTCTAAGCACTTTACCCCTACGGCTGGGTTAATTCATGCATCCACCCTATGAGGTAGGATTTGTTCTTTTCCCACTTTCACAGAGAAGGCGAGGCATCACACAGTGAGAAAGTGGCAGAGCTGGGATTCAGGCCTCAGCTTCTCCCACACAAGCCCACAGATGGAAGGATGAATAAGGAGTCAGAGTGGACCTGTGCCTCTCCCCTGAGAGGATACCAGGATTTGAGGCTCAGTGCCTTGGGAAGAGTGAACCCCTTAGTTTCCTGAGCCTCATCAGAAGCAGTCTGGGGAGGCTCGGGCCCAGCCAATGGCAGTGCAGGCTCCAACTCCTCCTCCTCCCGGGCTGGGCTGGCACACCCGACAGGCGCTGTCCTGGGAACAGGCTTCAACGGGCTTCCCTGAAAACCTTCCCCGCTTCTGGATATGAAATTCCAGCTGCTTGCTGAGTCCTATTGCCGGCTGCTGGGAGCCAGGAGAGCCCTGAGGAGTAGCCACTCAGGTAAGGGCATCTGTGTCCACATGTGCCCTGCCCCTTGGCATACGTGGCAGGAGGACACTTCTCTGCTGGGGAGTCGGGGGAGGTGGCCTGGACATATCCGCCGCCCTGGGTCCCAGTGGTGGAGGCATAAGTGGCTCTGGGTTCTTTCAGCTCTCCCCAGCCAGGCAAAGGTGGGAGCAGGGAACTGAGTGGGAGAGGAGCTAAGAAGGGGCCAGGCTGGAAACTCAGCAGGCAGGGTAGCTCTGCCTGGGCCTGCAAAGCCCTGCCCCACTCCTCTCCAAGTAGGGATGGGCTGGGTGACAGCCCCTGGGGGCTAAAGGCGGAGCCTCCCTGGGTGTTCCCTGAGAAGCTGCCAGGAGTCTCGCCTACCTTAGACAGGACTGAGAATGCAAGCTGGTGATTCAGATCAGAGGCCCCCACCCCCCGACCCCCACCCCCACCCATCCGCCGTCCAACCCCCAGCCACCCTCATCCAGGATCCACGCACAGCGGGGAGGACAGAATCCGTCTGCACTCAAACAGGCAGGCAGCTCATTGAAACTTGAGGAAAGAGTCTGAGGCCTAAGGCTGGGCAGTTCCCGGAGGGTGGGCTCTAGAGCCAGCCTGCCTGGGTTCAAATCCTAGCCCTGCCACTTACTAGCTGTGTGACACTGAACAAGTTAATTAATCCCTCTGTGTTCCTCTTTCCTCATCTGTAAATTGGGAATAAAAAATATGCCCTTTCCTAAGGTTGCTGTGAAGGAATAATGTACTGATTCATGCAAAGAACTTAGAGCGGTGCCCGGCACGGCACGAATGCTTCATGGATATTGGCTGTTCTCACTCCTCTGCTTTGTCTCTGTGGAGGCTCGGGACAGCCTGGTGGGCTTCAGCCTGCACCAGCACGGGAAGACCGTCCTGAGCCCTTTAGCAGCTAGGCAGACAGGTTCCTTGGGGCCCCAGGGTGCATCGTTGGTCGAAACCACAGTGCATGGGTCTCAGTGGACACACCCCCATCCCCAGGAGTCAGGCAGAGGACTCGCAGCTGAGGACGTGGGGAGCCCTTACTCTGCAGTCACGGTCCTTACCTGGAGGTGAATCTGATTCTGTGAGTCCATCAGGCCAAATTCACCAGCAGAAGTGACAGGAGCAGCATTTCCCACTTGATGTCTTGACAAGGCTGTTCCACAAGATGATAAAAGGAGGAAAAGGGCTTCTGTGGGCAAAGGAGTTTGGGCAATGCCACATATTTCATACCTCTTTTGGTGAATTTATTAGTGAGCTTCTTAGCACGGTTGAGCTAAAGAACCCTATTTAACTTTACTAAACCCAACGTTTGCCAACTTTTCTTGACACAGAATCCTCTTCTCTCACTTCTCCTATTGCCAACCTATGGGACAGGGTTCCAGGGAACACTGTTTGGGAAACACTGGAATACCAGGCTACTCTAGGCAGCCAACTGCATGAGGAGAATTCATTGCTGTCTGCTTTAGCTTTCAGCTGGATTGCACTGGCATGCTTCGGATGAGTGGCACTAAGCAGGACTCTGCCTGGCTAATTACAGAGTGTTAGAGCAGATGGGGGCTTGGGAACAAGGTTCCAGCCTCCTTTCCAGTCCCATCTCTGAGCCAAGAAAAGAACAAAGAGCAGGTTCCCCTGGGGAAGGGGCTGTCTGAGAAGAGGCAGCAGTGCTCAGAAAGGAGAGAACCATCTCAAGGCTCAGCCCCTTGAGGAGGAGGGCCAGGGTTGAAATAGAGGGAGCAGGCAGAATGTCCCAACTCCGTAAGTCTTCACTCTGCAGAACCCCAAGACCACAGCCTCAGGCCCTGGGAGGAATGAGTGGCTCCCTGGACCTGCCCTCATCCACTTTTATTGGTAAGAGTTGGGTTCTGGACTTAATTACCTATGCTCAAATCCCAGCTCTGCACCTAACAGTTGTGTAACCTTGTATAATGCCTCTAAACCTCAGCTTCCTCCCTCTATAAAATGGGGACAGTAGTAGAACCTAGCTCCTCTAGTAGTGGTGAGGGTGAAATGCAATGACATATTTCTACAAAGTGCTCAGAGCGAGTCTGTGATAAATGTAGGAAATTGTTGTTCTCGTTTCCGTGCAGTAGCAGCTGACGCGTGGGTCCACCATGAACTGGAGTATCTTTGAGGGACTCCTGAGTGGGGTCAACAAGTACTCCACAGCCTTTGGGCGCATCTGGCTGTCTCTGGTCTTCATCTTCCGTGTGCTGGTGTACCTGGTGACGGCCGAGCGTGTGTGGAGTGACGACCACAAGGACTTCGACTGCAACACTCTCCAGCCTGGCTGCTCCAACGTCTGCTTCGATGAGTTCTTCCCCGTGTCCCATGTGCGCCTCTGGGCCCTGCAGCTTATCCTGGTCACGTGCCCCTCCCTGCTCGTGGTCATGCACGTGGCCTACCGGGAGATTCAGGAGAAGAGGCACCGAGAAGCCCATGGGGAGAACAGTGGGCGCCTCTACCTGAACCCCGGCAAGAAGCGGGGTGGGCTCTGGTGGACATATGTCTGCAGCCTAGTGTTCAAGGCCAGCGTGGACATCGCCTTTCTCTATGTGTTCCACTCACTCTACCCTAAATATATCCTCCCTCCTGTGGTCAAGTGCCACGCAGATCCATGTCCCCATATAGTGGACTGCTTCATCTCCAAACCGTCAGAGAAGAACATTTTCACCCTCTTCATGGTGGCCACAGCTGCCATCTGCATCCTGCTCAACCTCGTGGAGCTCATCTACCTGGTGAGCAAGAGGTGCCACGAGTGCCTGGCAGCAAGGAAAGCCCGAGCCATGTACACAGGTCATCACCCACATGGCACCACCTCTTCCTGCAAACAAGACGACCTCCTTTCGGGTGACCTCATCTTTCTGGGCTCAGACAGTCATCCTCCTCTCTTACCAGACCGCCCCCGAGACCATGTGAAGAAAACCATCTTGTGAGGGGCTGCCTGGACTGGGCTGGCGGGTTGGGCCTGGATGGGGAGGCTCTAAGCCTCTCTCGTAGGTGCAACCTGAGAGTGGGGGAGCTAAGCTGTGAGGTAGGGGCAGGCAAGAGAGAGGATTCAGACGCTCTGGGAGCCAATTCCCAGTCCTCCACTCCAGCCACCTGCCCCAGCTGGACGGCATTGGGCCAGTTCCCCCTCTGCTCTGCAGCTCGGTTTCCTTTTCTAGAATGGAAATAGTGAGGGCCACCGCCCAGGGTTGGAGGGAGGCGGGCGTTCATAGAAGAACACACATGCGGGCACCTTCATGGTGTCTGGCCCACTGTCAGGGCTTAATAAAAGTCAATTCGTTTGCTGGCTCCAGGTGCCCTCTGGTTGTGCGGCCTTTGTGACCCTCACATGTTCATGGTGTCAATCTCTCTGCCCCCACAAAGGGCTGCACTTGGTCCAGTCTGATGAGAGGCATCCTCTCTTCCAGAAAGGGGGCGCCCCAGTACTCCAGGGGACATGTTTCTTGCTCGTGCTCCCATCTAGCCTTTATCCTCCATGGCAAGTTTAGGCCTGTGGGTTGTCTGCAGAGAGAATGGAGCTTAGTCCACAGGGAGCTGCACGTGGCAGTGGGAAGTTCATGAACTCAGAATGCCTGTGTCGAATCCAAGTTCCACCGGGACTCTGGGAAAGTAACTTCAGCTTCTCTCCAAAACTGGTTAATAATACCTAGCCTGTGGGGTTGTGCTGAGGACTGATGAGCTCATGGCTGTGGACAGGGTTAGCCAGCTGTAAAAGGACACATAAATGTTAATCATTGGTATTAGGAAGTGCTCGATAATGCCTGTGGGAAATGAGGCAGAAGGCCCCTCCCTAGCTGCACATTAACCTTCACCGTCCCAGCCAGAACACAGGTCCCAGGCCCCCCACCAGCATATGTGGGGTCACACTCCAGCTTCCCTGGAGGCCTTCCCCAGGACCCACAGAGGAAGAACAGCGATGCTGTGTCTGGCCCTGTGCTAACTGGGGCATTTCATGCTGCTGACCTGCATTCCTTGCCTCCACCAGGGCTGTGGGTGCCCTGGTCTAGAAAAGTCATAGTTGACCCCTCCCATCCCCTACACAATCCAAGAGCTTCCCAGGCTCCAATCCCAGAAATATCCCACCACCAGAATGGGATGCATTCCTGCACTAAATTACGGTTGCCCTTTTCCGTAGATGTCAGCTGCTGAGGACCTCAGAATCAGGCTTCCCAGGAAAAGGGCAGGAGAGAGGGCAAGGAGGCAGGGCAAGGAGGCAATGGGAAGGGGACACGGTCAATCCCACTGGTGCTGTCCTAGGCCCAAGCATAATGATGTCAGGCTCCTGAACCCCACAGAGCAGTCTCACCCACATACCTGCCTGCCTGGGAGCCAGGCCCAGCCATGCCCAGCCAGGCTAGAGAGGAGGCGTGGGCCAGGAGAGAAGAGCCACAGGTGTTTGCTCTGAATATGTGCCCGGGGAAATCCGCCCTCCTACCTGCCCACCCAATCACTCTCGCTTGGTTCATTGGCCCAGAAAGCCCCACCCAGCAGGGGAGTGAGGAACAAAAGCTGCCTCCAGGAGGTCCTGAGGCAGACGGACAAGCCTAAGGACAAGGGAGGAGCTACTGGACCCAAGAAGGGTGAGGACTGAATAGGGCAGGAGGCTGGCCGGAAGAAAGCAACCAGCTGAGCTGAGGATATCCAAGGGATCTCAGGCTGTGAGCTGGGCTTTAGGGAGGCAGTCAGAGGCTCAGGGTCCCTAAAGGATCCCCAGGGAAGTGCCAAGGAGGAGAAGGAATGTCCTGGCTGACCTAAGCGAGGACAGAAGATTAGGGAAGAGGGGGGATCAGGAAGTAATGGGTTTCAGTTCAGTTTAACAAACATCTATTGTGTGTCCACTGGGCCAGGCCAGTGCTGGGTGCTAGGGAGACAGAGGTGAAGAGCCTGCCCTCTAGCATCTGACAGTATGGCAAAAAAATAAGACAGGTGAATAGACCATTTGGGTACAGGCGATACCTCTTGCTTGGAAAATGTCCCAGGCACACGATGTCTGAAGAGGCTGAGAGCAGAGTCAGTGATTGGGGATAGGGAGGGAAGAGAGTAGGAGGAGGGGAGGGTTTGGAGATGGAGCCTGATGGGGACTCCAGATAAGGGGGTGTGGAGGTCGGAGTCCACAGGACAGGGGCCTGAGAAGAAATAATGGAAATGCGGCTAGCAAACAGCCACTAAATGGACAGAGGAGAGGGTGCCCTGAGAGAAAGTAAATGGGGAGTCCAGACCATGCCAGAATCCATCCTGGGTCCTTCCTAAAGCTGGAATGGTTGGAATTTCAGAGGAACCCACTGTGGTCAAGACAGTCAGCCCTCAGGCCCCAGCATCAATACATGGGTTGGCAGGGATGATATCAAGTCCCCATGATTCCAAAGCACCTCTCTTTAGTTTGGGAGGGAATGCCAGGGCGGAGAACCTTCCTGGAGCCAGAGGCAAGGAGTAAGGATGAAGATTGTTCTGGGATTTACCAAGGGGCTGATGTGAACGTCCCCAGCACAGGGCCAGGCTCTTGTTGGTGTTCAGTAAAAATGGGATGGATCTGACAACTGATGAGGGTACGTTCCCACCTTTCCTGCCCTGGCCCAGCCCTGACAGCTGACGGGAGAGCAGATCATCCAATTCAAACCTTCCCACAATCTCTTTAGAAGTCATGGGCTGAAACATGGGGTAATAGAAGTTAGCTGGCATGTCCATGCAGGATGATTGTCTTCACATGTATCTATTACCTTGTAGAATAAAATAGATCCTGATTTTGGAACCCGAAGGCCAAAGTGCAAGACTCTGCTACTTCCATCTGTGGACCCTTGGGTGGGTATCTCTGGGCCTTCACTTACTCTTTGTGAAATGGGGACAGGGGCAATCCCTACCCTACCAAGTCATTGGGAGTGAGGACATGATGACACGGTGACTGTGAAAAGATTTTTTCCATCGCACCAGCATTAAGCGTGCCCATCTCCAGGTTCCCCCAGGCCTCAAGGCTCCCAAGGCCTGAGTGGGTGGGTAGCACCCAGGTATAGATCTTCCACGTGCAGTACCCGGGACACAGCCAGCATGAACTGGGCATTTCTGCAGGGCCTCCTGAGTGGTGTGAACAAGTACTCCACGGCTCTGAGCCGCATCTGGCTGTCTGTGGTGTTCATCTTTCGCGTGCTGGTGTACGTGGTGGCGGCGGAGGAGGTGTGGGACGATGAGCAGAAGGACTTTGTCTGCAACACCAAGCAGCCCGGCTGCCCCAACGTCTGCTATGACGAGTTCTTCCCCGTGTCCCACGTGCGCCTCTGGGCCCTGCAGCTCATCCTGGTCACGTGCCCCTCGCTGCTCGTGGTCATGCACGTGGCCTACCGTGAGGAACGGGAGCGCAAGCACCGCCTGAAACACGGGCCCAATGCCCCGTCCCTGTACAACAACCCGAGCAAGAAGCGGGGCGGGCTGTGGTGGACGTACTTGCTGAGTCTCATCTTCAAGGCCGCTGTGGATGCCGGCTTCCTCTATATCTTCCACCGCCTCTACAAGGATTACGACATGCCCCGCGTAGTGGCCTGCTCCGTGGAGCCTTGCCCCCACACTGTGGACTGCTACATCTCCCGGCCCACAGAAAAGAAAGTCTTCACCTACTTCATGGTGACCACAGCTGCCATCTGCATCCTGCTCAACCTCAGTGAGGTCTTCTACCTGGTGGGCAAGAGGTGCACGGAGATCTTCAGCCCCAGGCACCGGCGGTCTCGGTGCCGGGAACGCCTACCCGACACCTGCCCACCGTATGTCCTCTCCCAGGGAGGGCACCCTGAGGATGGAAACTCTGTCCTAATGAAGGCTGGGTCGGCCCCAGTGGATGCAGGTCGGTATCCATAATCTGCGAGGTCAGCAGATAAGATCACCAGGTCCCCCCACCTGAGGCCACCCAGGAAAACAGGCAGGGGCAGGGGCATTCTTACCGTAGCAGGGTGGTGAGGACGGTGGCTGTGGGGGCTCAGGAAGCTCACCCAGGGGCCAATGTGGGAGGTGGCGAGTAGTTTGGTCCCTGGGTCCTGAGCCTCAGGGGAGGGAGGTTGATGGCTGGCGGGGATTTTGTATATGGCAATAGTGTATGTCAAACCTCTTAATAAATATGATTTTCCCAGTACTTTGCAGACCAGATGGGGAGTGGCGGATAGGAAAACGGGGGTGGGGGGATTAGGTGGACCTCAGAGAGGATGCCAAGGCAACTCGGTGAGCACCTGAGCACCAGAACCTCAGATCCAGGCTCACCCATCACCCCCCAACACACACAGAGTGTGCCCCCAGGACATGGTGGGGAGTGCCTAAAGGCAGAGGGTACTCCAGGGGCCTCTTGGTTCTGCAACCAGCTGGCCAAAGCCGGAGGAGAGGAACCCCAGGGGACTCTGTGCCCAGCAGGAGCCGGTTCTCAGTGAGTGCCCATCACAGGAATGAGCGTGGGTTGGGCCTCCCTAGCCCTGCCCAGCACGGGTCCCAGATAGGTGAGTCCCCTCTGACAGTAGGAGGGGCAGGGCTGAGAGCAAGCCAGGGATGGGGGTCTGTCAAGGTGCCCAAGAGGCACATCCTACAGGCCAGGGCCCATTGAGAGTGTCTGAGCTGAAAGGTCCCTCGTGGATCCTGGAGTCTATGGAATTTCATGTTCTTTTTCACTGATACAACTTCCCCATTCCATACTCCCCCACCCCACAACCACTCAGACTTTGGCAACTCCCAGAACCACACCTCCACCCTAACATGCCTCCGAGCCCACCAAATGCCCACTAGACAATTTCCTGGGAGGCCCCCAGCCGTCTCATGCTCGCCACTCCCAAGCTGACCTCAGCAGCTCCCCACAGACTTGCCCCCTGGAAGATGCCCCGCCCCATCTCATGCAGGACACAGCTATTCACCCGACTGCCCAAGCCAGGGGAAGGGACAAGCCTGACATCCTTGTCCCTCATACCCCACATCCCCACTGGCACCAAATCCCACTGATTCCAGTCCCTAAATGTCACCTGAATCTGCTCTTCCTCTCCTTACGACAACCTAACTACCTACTGGACCTCCCCCATCTGCCTCCGCTACAGGGATGGAGTGATTTACCCGTCTATGCAACTGACCATATCATTCCTCCTGCTTTAAAACTTCTTCCACCATCACCAGCCCCATGCCCTCAGCATGGCCCCCGCTGACCTGCCCTCCTCATCCCAGCTTCCTCCTCCTTTCTACCTGCCAGTAATACCAAAGGGCTCCTGATTCCCCAGGCAGACACGTCACGTGGTGTCATTCTTCATGCCTTTTTCATACTATTTCCTCTGGCTAGAATGCCCTTCCCACCTTCTCTGTGACCCTACCTCAAAACTCTAGGACAGCTTTACCCATCTCTCCAAGTGCCAGCCTCACTTGTCCCTCTGCCACTCTCCCCAGATCGGAACTGTTACTTCCCCTGAGTGTCTCCCTATCAGTCTGTGAGCCCTTTACGGGCAGGTCACTGAGTCATCCAGGTCCCTGCTGCCTTCAGTAAATGCTTGTTGGATGAGTAAATAGTCTGTGAGCTGCTTGGGGGAAGGAACTAAGTCTTGTTCATCTGACTCTTCCACCACACCTAGCCTGCGGAGTTCAGCAAAGCATTTGTTTGCTTGCTTTGCTTTGTTTCTGTTGTTTAACTAGAGCCAGCATCAAGATCTCACCTTTAGGTAAGCAAACTTGAGTCTAGAAAGGGGAAGAGGCCCTTCAAGACCACACAGATCTGCTGAGTCTGTCAGGGGCTGTGTCCTCTGTGGTCCACGGGTAGCCTCCACACCCACCCCTGATTACGGCATAAGATCAAAGTCACCCATCATTAGGGCAAGGCTCCCTGGGAGCAGAGCCAGAGGCAGGGGTTTGTGTGCATGTGAAGGAAGGAGCAAGGGGAGTGGGGGAGGGAGGGGCCGAACTGAGCAGGGATGTAGACTCAGGAAGATGCAGCCTTGGCCCGATCCCTGTGGGATGAGGGGGCTTCAGATCATAAGTCTTGCCACATTTCAGTCAGTCATTACTTCAGGCGCCCCCAGTGGCAGGAGGGTTGGCAGGAAGGGGTAGGTGGCTCTGGCTCAGTCAAAATCAATTCTTCAGGGGTAGCCATAAGCCATCAGCAGCCAATATTCACAGCATTTGGGGAATGGATGTCCCCCAGTAAAGGGGACATGGGCAGGGCACCAATACCATCTACTAGACTCCTGACTCCAGGAAACAAGAATAACTCCCACTTCCAAGCCAGACCAGAGCTGGACCACCAGCCCGAGAGAACAGGGGGGCACTCCTGACCAGTTCAGAGCCAGATAGCCCCACACTGCTCAGACCACAGTAGCTCCCAAGTCCAGGCCAGGGGACCCCACAATAGTCAACGCCCCCAAGATTCCAGATCCATCCTCCAAGGACAGCTGCTGGGTCCAGCTTATGGTGAGCTCACTCCAGGACCTGACAGCTCCCATGGCGACCTCTCCTTAGATGCTGTTCCCAAAGGTCTCGAGTCCTGAGCCACTGAGCCAAGTGGGGACTTTCAGAGGAGCCTGGGACTAAGGACCACTTCAACCATCAGGCCATCTTATCCTCAATCCCACTCACAATGTCAAGACTCACACTGCTCTCACCACCACTCACACCTGTCCACCTTCACCTTCTTGAAAAAAATCCCTCTTTGCTTCCTCTTCTGCCCTCTGTCCTGCCCACATCATTGTGACCTATCTCTCCTCATTCATTGGAGACTGAGCCTATAGCCCAAGGCCTTCTCCTCCTGCTATTCTCCCATGACCCAAGGCCTCAGGGGTCACCTGTGCATCATCCTGTCCTTTCCATCCCGTGACTACCTTGCGAACAGCGTTTAGCTACCCACTAGCAGGACCCCATCCCAGACCTGGTCATCACCCAGAACTGTTCCACCTCTAGAGCCTTCCATTCCTGGAAATATTTGTTCTTTATTATTCACTTTTATGTGAAAGCTCCATATGAGGTGTTAAGGAGTCATCTGGAAAAAATCAGATATGGTCCCTGACCTCATGGAGCTTACATTCTAGAGAAGAGAACAGCTACCTAACTCATGGCACACTGGGGAAGCTGGGGAGAGAGGAAAGGGGATCTAACATCCAGGCATCCAGAAAAAGGCTCCCTGAGACATCTAGAGAAGGAGGATTTTGCCAAGCAAGCAGGTGGAATTCCAGACAGAGGGGACAGCTTATGCAAAGGGAGAGCATGCCTGGTGACAAAGATGGGGAGAACCCAGAAGCGCTCAGGCCAGGTGAGGGGCTCAGGTAGGAGTCAGGCTGGAGTAGACAGAGGCTGGATCCTTGTAGTGCTTTCTTTGTAAATCTCTGCTAATGACTTTGGACTTTATCCTGAGGACAACGACAAATCCATAGAGAGATGGCCTGAACTAGGGTGTGCACCTTGGGGATGGAAAGAAGTAGATGGATTTAAGAAATGTTTACAAGATAGAATCCAAAACATGTGGTGATTTAATTGGGTGTGGGGATCAAAGTGACACCCAAGTTTCTGGCTATGAATGGTGGTACCATTTACTTGAGTGGGGAGGTGTGGATGACTTCAGTTTCAGACATGTTGAATTTGAGATACAAGTAAGATATCCTGGTTTTTCCCTCTCCTTCACGGATGACCTCAGCCCCTCAGCCCCTAGTGTCTTCCATCTGCTACTACATTTATTAGTAGTGACTCCATTTTCAACACCTTGACCTCTCAGTTCCTTGACTTCCTTGATTTCAACAATCTTTTTATCCACCCTTCCAACCCACCCACCTGCGTGTTTGCACCCTAGGCCTGTCTACACCAAGAGCTGCATCATCTCCCATCTATGTGGCTCACCCAACCTGGTTCCCATTCCAGCAATCCTTCTGCCCCATCCACTGACCCACCACTATGTTCCCCCACCCCTTCCCATTCTCCCTGCCCTCCTTTCTCAGCTTAGACTCCACAGACCCCCAGCTAATCACCAGCTCACAAATGTCCTCCACTCCCTCACCTTCCCATGCCTCTCTAGTTCTCAGCTGGCAAGACCCTAACTCCAGTTAAACCAGACTCTCCACATGGCACCTGTTCCTGAGCACCTGGAGGATAATACAACTGGACTGACTGGTCTCCATTTAAACTTCTGACCACAAACTTCAAGTGGACACTCAGCACCTCTAAGAAATTCTATATTTTCCTAAAACTTTATCCCTACTCTCCAAAATGACTCTATCATGCCTTCTCCTCTTTCCTCAAACAGACGCCATTCTCCTAATCCTCCATTTAAGCTGATAGGCATCACAGAGTGCTGGGAATAGAAGCAACCGGCCAGCTTAGCTCAGCCCACCACCACCACATCTGCCAAACTCACAGCATGAGCGGCTGTTGGCCTTGCCTCCTCTCCTGTAACATGGACAAAGCGTCCCTGCTCCTGGGACACTCCCCTCCACTTGGACAATGGACCCCTTCACCCCTCACCTGCTCTAGACTGTGCTCCACAGTTGGTGCCTCTCTCTCCTGCGTTGCCATTTCCCTTTCTACAAATGTACTATAATAATTTCATCTCTCTCTTTTTTTGAATTCTCTCTTGACACTCCATTCTTCTCCAGCTGCTACCTCATTGCCAAAACAAAAGTCTTCTATACTTGCTGCCTCCACTTCCTTGTTGCTTTAACTTGTTCCAGTCAGGACTGCTCTTGTCAATATCCCCAAGGGCCTCCAAGCTGCCACACCCAGTGGTCCATTCTTTGACCTGGCCTAACTCCCTCAGAATCATTCAGTCATGGAGAGCTCCCTCCTCAAACATTGTCTTCTCTTGGCTTCCGGGCAGCATCTCTCCTGGCTTTCCTCCCACCTCGCTGATGGGTCTTTCTTGATGTCCTTCAATGCCTCTCCTTCCTCTTCCTAAGCTCTAAATGCAAGATGCCCCAGGGCCCAGTTCTCTACCTTCTTTCCTCCTCTCTATACATTTCCCCTTCACTGACCTGATCCAGTACCACCTATAAAACCATCCATAAACTGATGGCTCCCACATTGATGTGTCCAGACCTAACTGTTCCTATGAGGGTCAGACTCCTGTATTCAACTTCCTATTGGTCATCTAAAACAGAACTCCTAATTCCCCTAATCGAGAACAGATTTAAGCTT